TCCTGGGTGCCAGTCATGATTTGGGGACTTGCCTAAATGCTGACCCTAAACATCCTTTGGGGTGTCCGTTCTTTGGGACCTCACGACTCGGAAGTTGAGTGCCCCTTTCAGAAGCTTCAGGGCGTAGCAGTTCCGGGGCGTGACTTGACGCCTCAGAAAAGGCTTACCTGTGGGTCACAACAAGGCGCTATAGTTCGGAAATCAAAAAAACTTGCTATCCGCGACTGACCCAGAATCGTGGGCATAAAGGATGTGCATGCTTTCCATGGTCCTTCGGCGAGAAGCTGCAGACTGCACTGGAGCCGAGTGTGCAGGAACCACACGGATCGCAAAATCACAGGGGACTCTGGACTGAACCCCAGAAACTCGAACAGACCAACAGCACTTCCACTTTGATGGACCCTGGGCTGAATCGCCACCTCGGAAACGCTTGTAGAAAAGGAGCAGGAGCTAGCGTACAAAAACCCGACACACCATCGCTGCCGGTCCTTCTGAAGCTCTTCTTCTGGTGGGATGTTGTTCGCCTAAATTGGTGGACGGACACGTAGTCGAAGAAGACTGCGAAGACCAGGCCCTTGCGCCACGCATCCTCTAGTGAGTCTACGATGAAGTTCAGCTGGAAATCCCACGGGTCCGGGTGTTCTTGAGCCTCCCAGCCGTGTGAAATCGCAATGACTCTCTGCTTCAACGGCCGTCGATGCATCTCGCAAGCCCAGTCCAGGACCTGCGCTTGTGATCAGTGGTGCTTTTGTTTCGGTGCAAATCTGTGACTAGATGCTCGTGCACCGCACAGTGCTTGATTCCGCCTTGCCTCCTGGTGGCTCACCAAAGCATTCTTGCCTGAAGCTGTCCTTCGCCGCTGCACTTCTTGCCTTCGGGAGGCTTCAGAGATCGCCCTTGCGGTGCTCTTTTGCTGCACGAGAAGCCGTACTTCCAACTCCTAAACTCCGTGAAGGCGCTGCTCAGCCAGCACAGGTGGTAGGCAGCTGACGCAACAGTAGGATCAGCAGGAGCAGCAATCAGTACGGGCTGAAGTAGCTTTGGCCATGATTGATGGTCACTAGTAGGAGGGCAGCAGTGCTAGAACGGGAGAAGCAATGATGCAAGGCAGCCAAAACCTCCGCCACCAGCAGCACCAACAACAGCAGCACCAACAACAACACCAGTACGACAATGATTGGCCACCATGCCCAGAGGTGAGTTGTATCATTGAGAACAACAAGCAAAAGGCATGAACCATCATAACCCTAAACCCTAAACCCTAAACCCTAAACCCTAAACCCCTAAACCCCTAAACCCTAAACCCTAAACATGAACCCGTGATGCCTTCGCGGTAAGCCCTCCTTAGCCTCTTGGAGCTCCTTGAGATATTCAAAGCGAACGAGGCGAATGTCCTTGGGGCTTGCATTTCAAGGGCCAAAGTGCGGTCCTAGATCAAGCGGATGATCATGAGTTACTGAGCCGGAATGTCATCAAAGTGACGATTGCACATCACCGCTTGAGTCAAACTAGGGTTGCCCCTACGTAGCGCTCAGCATAATTCTGAGATTCTTAGGCGAACCCAAACAAGAGACCAAATTTGGAGAAGCCGCCCACATACGGTTCAATGTGGACGGGCAGGTCGCCTTTTCTTTCAGCACCGCATCTGCTCAGGTTCGTCGTTGCGGTTGTAGCCAGTGTCAAAGCACGCGGGTTTATTTCGTGCGCATCGTAAGACCGTTGTTCCTCTCCGAAGTGGCCTGATCCCTCGAAGAGGTAGCGAAACAGCTTAAGCTCAGCTTAGTTCGCCTCCGGCCTCCGACCGAGAGGCATCTGGAACAAGCAGGCCCGGTTCTGGTTCCCCCCTTCCCAACCCTTCCCCCACCCGAAATTTGGTGCCCTCCCGCCCCCCCCCCCCCCCTCCTCTCGAGCTGCCAAATACGCACGCCGAAACAGCGATTGTATATGTGTTACGTTGCTGGTGCAAGGTTTCGGGTTTGCCACTCAACATCTCCTTTTGGCGCTTGGGCCTTTCCATCTCCAACTGGCGTTCCAGATTTCCTTTCAGGGTCGGTCTCCCGGAAGTCCTCGGTAACCCTCCCGAAAACCTGGTTTTTGGCAAGGTTCCCCCAGAGCACGCATGCACCTTGAACAAGACCCGTGCAGCCTTGACCAAAACTGCAGCCAAGTCGCAGCATCCACTAAATACTTTGCAAGACCGCGTGGGTCCAGCAGGCCGTTCCTTAAGACGTATACTGCCGATCAAAGCGAGGTTTCGAAAAACAGCAAGTGTCAAATCACAACCATGCCTCCGAACTGTTCAAAACAACTGGAAAGACCCAGATTCCTTGAGAGAGGCTGCAGGACTCTGCGGTCGTAGACCCTTTGTGCCACCACGAAGCACGCTACCAGACCGACAACCTGGGATGGACCGTGCAATTCTCGAGGAGAGAGGATCTGCAGTTGGTTGTTGGTATGTTGAAGAAAGTCTCAGCATTAAAACAGAAAGCTTTCTTACCGGGAATCCAAGTAGCGCCAGACGGCACTACGCCATAACTGGTGAAGGCAGAGACCCCGTTCACGGACTTTCGAAGATTGGAAAGGGTCTGGTTTTCCTCGTACATGTTGAGGAGCTGCTGGGTGAAGAGAATCAAGGAGATGGCAAGACCAACCACTGTAGAGATCAGCGCGCACAGCACGGAAATCAGCATGAACTTCGTGTCACAGCGGCAAATTCCGATCGGGCTGACCAACCACCTGGACGGAGTGTTGTCAGTATACTCTCGCAAAGGCTTAAAGGGGCAAGTGCCCACCTGCAAATGATTTTCATGCGCGAAACCAACCCCTCTTAAGGAATTCTACATGTGTTCAGGCCAGAGGGGAGCTAGTGGCCAGTGACACTTCATGAGCGGGTGCGGCAATTGCCTCATTGGTGGTACTGCCCGAGTAGCAGGGCTGGATTTGGATGTAGGTTATGACCACCTAACTGTGGTTCCACCGCGCCGAAAACAAGGATCCTGATTGCAACAAAAGGTCTTCAACAAGGAATCCAGTATGTTGGAAAATTCCTTCAGCTCTTTTTCAGAATCTGGGAACTTCCCACCTCAATCCGAGCTTGAGGAGGTGAAGCTCTCCACTGGCAAGCAGCCAAGCAATAACCACTGAACAGCACCTCCCGATCAGGACTTAGGATCTAGGGCTTTACATCCTCGGGACATTCTCCAAATCATGTGCCTTACTTTCACATCTGCCATGGTCCTCATGATGAGGTGAACAAAATGGGAGTGGCTCATTCCCACCACGTGCGAAGCAGGGCACAAGGAGCAAAGCGTCCACACCGTTACGAAAATCACGTGGGCGTGGATCCTTGGATGGAGGGCTTGGTTCCTACAGCTCAGGGCCCTCAGGGCCCTGGCGCACGTTTTCGGAGGGTGAGCCCATGGACTGATAATCCGCAGCAGAAGCAGCGGCTGTTCGAACAGTTTTCATCAGTGCCATGGTTCTCGTTATCACTATCCTATGCTCACTCAATAAACTGCAACTCCACGAGCATGACGAGCTGCCGTGGCGGCTCTGGCGTCTCTGTTGGCTCTGTTGCAGAGACCTCTGAGCCTCTCTGCCACCTTCGCGCTGGGATTTCCGCTACTGGGATCTAGAAGCCCGCAGCAATTGCACGAGATGCAGCTCTCTATGGAGTAAAGATTTTGCTTGATTTAGTGGCCATGCTTGGCTCTTTCTGCCAGTCTCAAAAACATGTCGAATCATACGACATGCGGCTAGACTAACATAACAGGCCCTCAACCGCAAAGAATGTCATCTGTGGTGCACATGCAGTCCTCATAAAGTACAGGATGCTGATTAGACCTCTGCAGACTTGGCTTCTTTGGTGCAACGTACACATCAACTCACTAAAGTGGTGGAAGCGTGGGCTTTGGGGGGTGTGGCACAATATTTATCAGTGTAGAAATGTGTGTATAGTATCTTATACACACATTATGTGCGTAGCCAAGGCACGTCTCATTGCAGGTGCAGCTGTCGGTGTCAGCTGAAATATTGCAGTGCCACAGCGTCATCAATTCTGTGACATCACCTGCAAAATGCGGGGGATCTGAAACACAACGGAGTTGAAGACGAGAATGGAGCCAACCAAGAGCTACTTCGGGCCTCACCTGCGAGCGATGAGGGCAAAAGCTCACTGACACGAGTCGGGTATGTTGACAAACTGTGCCAAGTACGACTAAGCAGCTCTGTTGTAAGCCCACCGTGTTTCGTATTTCCCTACAGCAACTACTGTTTCGGGAACGATTCAGACCTTGGCCAAATGAAAACCTGACCCGGTATGTTGGACTGTGGCCATGCTACGTCAGTAACTTCCCTCTCTGGCTGTCCGCTGAGAAACACTCTTGGAATTACTCTGATTCCTTGAAAGTATTAGTTGCACGCGCACAGAACACCCGGCAGTTTCGTGCTGTTTCAGGTGTTGAAGGCCCTGTGTCGCCTGACTTTGGCTCCGGCAAGGGCCAGGGGTGGAGTCGGAATTTGTCAAAAGTGAGTAAGTTAGAACGCCATCAGTACACTGGGCCCGCATCATGTACTCACTCAAGGCAGTCTAAGCTCACACAGATACGCGGTTATTTGCCATGTAATTCTGGCTGGAGCATCTGTGCTCCACAACCTCCGGTGGCAAGTGAGCGAAGATGCTGTCGATAAAGACAGGCACGCAAACTCTTGACAGACGTTTTACATTTTGGAAGGCCTTCGTTCCTTCAACTTTGAAGCAGCGGGTTCCCCGGAGTGAACTCCCAACTTATTCAAGCCATCTACCTTCGGACCCATCGATTAGCAAGCACGACTTTCTCACAAAGACCAGCACCTTCCAGCCTACGTGAGCAATCAGCAATCTTACCCTTCGCTTTATGTGCCTCTAGAGAGTAGCTCGTGCAACGAAGGTCTCCGCCGGACAGTGAAGTGTGCCTTTTCTGACGAGCCTACCAAACGCAACACAAAGCTTGAAAAAAAGTAGTTTCTGTCATCTTCGAGAACTTCCAGAACCGTATTGTCCTGCAGCATCTTGCTGGAACCATGCGTTTCCTGTACTATCACCGCCCCGATACGGTACTCAACGCCTGTGATCTCTTTCACGACTAACAAGCGAAAGCATCACTTTCCAGCGACGACAACCGTCATGACAATGGTAGCTGAACAGTTTGTTCTCGCAACGTGCCCAACGAGTCGCAGGGAATGTCCACTTCAGACGCAGCCACATACCATACTAGAATGAACACAGCGCAAGCACAACGAGACTCCCGCAATCTTGCACAATCCTGAAAACACCGAAGCCCAAAAAAACCCAAAGCCTTAAAACGGCTGCGACGTGCAGCTGAAGCTGAAGTCTGCCTACCTTCTCTGCCGTCTCCCGTCTGGCTATGTCTGAACCCCTGGGGGGCCTTCCTGGGCACGAAGTCCCTGAAGCCAAAACCTCGGCTCCCAAAGATACGAAAAGCAAAACAGCTTCTGACGCAGATTCTGCCGCACAAAACTTAGGGTTCCGGGGTCAGGTTTCAGGGGTTAGGGCTTAGGGTTTCGGGTACCCATCATGAAATCAGAAACCTCTGCTACTTCCACATCCTGGAAGCCCCCCACCACCGCTCATGCCCACAGGGTGGCTCATGCCCACAGGGTGGGCAACGCGCCCAACTGGACTTGCATCAACCATGTTCCACATCTTCGTGCGCAAGTCGAAATACCACAAATCTGAAAGCCAGTGCCTGTCCCAAGGGGTCTCCAAACCACACAAGAAGGACGTGTCAGGCTACACCGAGGAGTCTATGAGGATTGGGGTCAGCGCCTGGCCACACCACCATTTCCTCCTGTTGCCTGGAATGAAGCTGTGATTCTTGTAAGGGTTCGGGACTTCTCAGAGTTTCGAGTTTGGGGGTGTGGGTTGTTTGTGGTCACCGGGTACACTCTCTCCCACGGCCCAGGCGCTTGTCGACCACCGTGGACCCAAATCCTGTCCTGGGCATTGCAAGGGACGACAACAAGCTTGTTTTCAGGCTTGCACAATAAGCTGCGAAAGCCCTGAACTCCAGGCCATAATCTGGGTAAGCACAAATCACAAATCGCAAAAACATTCCCTACAGCTGAAGCAACGCCATTCATTTTGCACTGAGGTGATCCCCCAAAACATGAGTCTCCGATACCGGAACCATCCAAGAACTTTCAAAATCCTTTTGTGCACTTCCAGCAGAACGAGACCTGTAATGTACAGGAAACTTGGCGCCTTCCGGAGACGACTTTCTACACGTCGGATGATGCAATCCTCAACCCCCCAAGAAACCATGTTCCCAGAAATTCTAAGCCCGGAGAAATCCCGGAGCCCTGGTGCTGCAGGGATACCAAAAGGACCACTGGACGACAGATGTCCCGCATGAACATTTTCCATCATCATGCAAACAGTGTCTGCTCTTGTTTGAAACCACCACTATCATGCGTGATCCAAGCGGAAAACTTTGTTTGCCGAAAATACAAGTGCGCACCTGGGACGTGCCGAGGGCGCCGAGAGGGCAACCAGTCTCGATTAACGCGCATCTGGAAACCTGATGAAGCTGCCTGACGTGAAAGAAAGCAAGCAGAGGCAGCGCTTCTCGCAGGAATCCGAGAGTGCACGTGCAGTCAGTAAGCGTGGAGTGAAAGGCATATTTCAAGCCACGGCCGTCGGAGCTTAAGATGTCAAGCCAGCCATGGATCACCGAGACTACAAGTATCAATCATAAGTGTTCTCTAGCAGGCAAATTCTCTATGAGGCGAAACTAGGCACGTACTGCATGGTGTTCTCGTTGCATCACCGTTGCAGGGACACCAAAAGGCTCGACGACAGACGTCCCGCATGAGCGTTTTCATCATGCGAAGAGCTTCTATTCTTGCTTCCGCTATATCATGCGCGATCTGGGCGGATATCTCCGAGAGGGTCGAAAATGCAGTGTGCCAAACATACCATTTCAATCCATTTCGCGTTTGGACACGCCGAGAGCGCCGAGAGGGCAGCCCGTCTCGACAGACATCTTGAAACCGGATGAAGCTGATGTGAAAGAAAGCAAGCAAAGGCAGCCCGTCTCGTACTCAGGGTCAGAATCGGGAATCCGAGCATGCATGTGCATGTGCAGTCATCAAGCGTGGAGCGAAAAGTCGGAGCTGGACATGCCAAGCCACGGATCACGGAGACTACGAGTATCAGAAGTGTGTTCTCAGGCGAAACTAGGTACTGACCTTTGTCGTTGCATGGAGCCGGAGCTGTTGACAGGAACATAGGGCCACTTACGTTTAGCTTTCCGCACTGAATGCGACAGACGTCGAATACGGCTCGTGACTGCAAGCATGACAAGCATGACACACGACATACACGACGAAGATGGGAAGGTCAAAAAGTGGAGTTACAGTTAGGAGGACGGGGGCCCCAAAGATCTCCACCCTGTGTTTGACTGTTTTGGCGTCTTGGTGCCGTGTCCCGTGTCCTGTATCCAGTCCTGTCTTCGAGAAGTGTCGTCATGCCATGCCTGGTGCCAGGTCTGGTGTCATGTCTTCCTTTCGCCTCCTCATGCCGCGTCTTGCATCGTGTTTTTCGTGGCGTTCAGCATCTTGGCTTGGTCCACAAACGACGAGCCTCCAAGTTCAGGACCCACAGGAATGCGAGCACTTCTAGAGCAAGTACTTTCACAAAGCCTCAACGCTGAACCCAACAGAAACCTCTTAGTTTCATGAAGACACCTACAATCATGCTCATGAGCAGGCCCAGTTACCACAGTTCTGAGAAACCATGAAGACCGCCTCCTTAAGACCCCTCGCTTTGTGTCGCCCCCAAAAATACAAATTACAGCCGACCCCCCCAACATACCGCGAGCTTGATAAACCTTGAAGTCAGAACCACCTTGTTGCAACTCTGCAACTTTCACCCTTGACGCACACAGAGTACATCTGACACCCAAAACGACACAGGTACAGGTTGAGAAGCCTTGCGTACTCCCCGGTCATCCCCCTTTGTGAGCCCCAGCGTCGCCCACGAGGACAGCATCGTGCATCTCACGAGGTGAGGGGCGAGTCGGTTGAAGAGCCTCCTCACGACTAAACTGACTAAGTCGATGCGTTGTACAGATACTCTTTTTCGCTCTTTGAATAGGCGGAAGTTGACTTTGGGGACGTTAAAGAGCTTCTCGTTTATCGTAGTGATCAAGATTCTGTAGAAGTGTAAGGGCTACGGTCTTGAGACTCCGGTTTCAGACTTTATGGACTTATGGACACCTTACCTTTATGCACAGGAGACTGTAGCAACATGACATGCCCGCTTGGATCCGCTTGGCAGTTTTGCTGAAGACACCCTGGAGCATCAGTTCAAAATATGCACAAGATAAAGGGAATTAGAAGGATGCGCACGCTGCCCCGTCTTAAACAGTCCCAGCCGCTTGTGACCAGGAACAGTCATCGAATCCTTCGGCTTTGAAAAACCAAAGATCGTCGAGCAGGCCCAAGGGGCCATGTCCTTCACTAGATTGAAGGCTGTAAACCAACCGTTCACTGAAACAACACATCAAAGCACCACGTGGTCCTCCATGCACCCAGACATGGGACCCATTCGTCACGGCCACGTGGCTTTCACGCGGATCAGGCCCATGAGAGGACACATTCGTCCACATGTTGTCATCGTTATTCTCGATGCGGAAGCGCCAGAGATCCTGAAGCTTCGCCCGCCAGCGGCCCGAGCCGCCATGGATCCAAATGCAGCCAGAGGCCACCACCGCCACGTGCATGTAGCGCGGAGGGGGTGTCAACGCTTGACTCTGCCATAGGTTCCACATGCGGGTCTGAAGGTCAAAGCTCCACAAGTCATCAAGCTCTTCTTCATTATACCCGCCGTGAAGCCAAATGGTTTCTTCATGGTATAAAGCTACATGGCTCATCCGGGCGCTTGGCGTAAGACTGGAATTGGAGCTTACATTGTTCCATTGTTCGGCCTGGAGGTCGAAGTGCCAGAATTCCGCCAGCACGCCAACGCCATAACTGTGACCTGCCCAAGTGAGTTGAGGGAGCATGGCCAAACAAATCCGGGGAAAAAAACCGTGGGTGTCAACAAGCCTTAAACGGATCGTGAGACAAGAGGCGCCAGCAAGTCTTGTGAGAGCATCACTTTGGACACGTGCTGCCTCCATGCATCCAAATGCCTTCGCCGCTCTTCACCAAGGCTTGCTCCTGACGCATTGTCGGCTGAGGCTGGAGCCCTTGGCACAAGCAGGCGCACACAGCGACCCAGACATGGCGACTTTGGGATCCCATCGTCACTACGTCACTACTCAGTGAGCCAACACTTGCGCGAATGGAGCGCGCAGCCAATGGGCGAGAGCGCCTTGGGTCAGGCTTGGTCAGTAGACGTCAAGAGTCTTGGGAGTTTGGGGAGCTAGTTTGGGATTACACGGAGTTTAGCTCTACAATGCTTGCCGAAATGGTGGTTTCGGGCCTGGGCTTTTTCAAGCGGGCAACCCTGATCGAAGGAAGCGTGAGAGCTTTCTCTCGGATTTTGGAAGGCATGCGTAAATCAACTCCTGTGCCTAAACTCAGCCCCACCTATTAAGAATAGGGGGTCTTCCGCCAATCTCGATTCTTTGAACCCTCAACCTTTGCGGCTGGGGGCACCAGCAGGGCTTCACAGCTTCAGGGCTTTGTGGGCTGCTTCGGATGGTCAGAGGATGCTCCCACCCCCACCCCCAATTTTTTGTCCGCGGATCCGCTCTGCGCAAGATTGGGAAACGTGTTATAAAAATCCTTAATTCAGCCATGCCGGAGAAAGAGCTTCATATTCCCCTTGAGCGAAGGACGCGAAAGGCACGTGCGCTGCTACGAGTATCCGCGCGATTGCAAAGGCTTGCTTTTGCTTTCTGCAGCACTAGCAGGCCATTCCTGACATTCTCTCAAGGGAGTATTCCAAGGTATCATCCCTACTGTCCCGAATTCCCGAATCCAGTTCGGTAGCTAGTCGGGCACTTGATGTGATGCTTTAATACACTGCAGTGAAACATGTGAAACAGCATCTGTCCTGCACAGCGTCTCCTGAGGGCGTTCAAGATGAATATTGAGCATCGCAACTTCCCGGAGCAACTTGCATTTGGCAATAAGGCAGTGCTCCTGAAGCCCCCCCCCCCCCCCATTCACTGGAGTCCTAGAGTCACCAGAAGGCAGTTTTTGCGGAAGCTTTTCAGTGAAAGAGCGACCCAATATGAGAGCGCTGCAGGTTGTTGCGACACGGCGGATGCACGACATCATGCTTGAAGCTTCCCTTGGCAACAGAAGTCCATTTAGTGATAGTGTGGCCATGGCCCTGAAGCTGCTTGAGCTTAGCCCGAGACCTTCACCCCCCCCCCCCCCCCCCCCCCCCCGCAATATCCCACATTCCGAAGCGCCTGAATCTACAAATACAGTCCAGCCTCTCCTCAGGCTGCGGCATGCGCCAATGATCGTCAATGCGTGATAGTGATAGTGCAGAGGCAGCTGAAGGACCTGCAGCTGGCTTCTCGGATGCTTTCGAAGCTGACCCGTACTCGACTGCCTATCTGTTCTGCGGAGAGGAAACGCGGAGCACTGAGCAGAAAGTGTGCAAAGAGCCAGCCTCTGACAAGTGCGTAGCAGAGCTCGGAGACCCAACAGTCTCCAGAGTGCCTGCGGATCACAGCATTGTTTGAGGGTATGGCCGGAGTGGCTATAGGGCCTAGAGTTTCCGCCCTGACACAAAGCCTGCCAGCTCTCAAAGTATGTGAAGCCAGCTATAGATACAGAGTTGCAACGGGTAGCTTTGCCGGATTTCCGCCTGCGGCAGCAGCCGAGTCTGGAGCCAAGGCTATTCAGCATTCGAGAAGCGAGCCTGCGCCAGCAGCAAAAGCCAAAGGGCAAGGGTCTCAACTCATGGCAGCCCTAAACCCTACACCCTAAACCTTTCATCAGCATCCATCCAAAGGAGCAAGGCAATCGAGGTTCAATGAGGTTCAGAGGTCTTATGGCTCCCAGACTTTAAACAGCACGAAAAAGATCTTCGGCTGGGGTAGATGCGATCTGCAGAGACTTTTGCTTACGAGAGAAAGCATTGAAGGACCAAAAAACAAGCTGCAGTAAACTTGGGGGATGCGTGGGCAATCTGGCCAGGTCCACATGGTCGTAAGAAGCCCGCGGGGCGCGGGGTGCTGAGCCGCTCCAGCGCATGAGTTGCAGCAATCCTGAGGTCAACATCGCACACCAAAGCCACACCAAAGCATCAATCCGGAACATGCCGTCAGAATGTATTGGCTCACTGTGGCCAAAGGCACACCGGTCCGAGCAAAGCAGCCAAGAAACACCCAGCTGACTTGGTACCGTATCTGTTTCACGGACTTCAAGGAACACTGAGCGCCACGCGTGCAGAATGAAGAGTGCGCATGACACGATTCTCCGCTCACAGAGGGACTCCACACCTGTCACGGCAATGGGTTCGGGCCATATAGCAGCCCACTTCTTAACCTCATGTGACACGAGGACCGTGGAGAAACCTTCTCTGTGCTACTTCCCTTATGACTTCATATTGTGCCGGTTTCAGCTGTGCTTCCTGGTGCTCATCTACCTGAATCTACCTCAGTCATGGACCCTGTGCTATTCTGAGCTGCCCGGGTTTCCAGAGTACTGAAACCCTTGGCTCCAAATGTCTGATGCCCCTGCCCCAAACTCTCCTTAAAGGAAAACACCTTCAAAACCTTTGACCGGGTGGCCAACTCCGACCTCTCCACAGAAGCTGCCGCTCCACGGCTGCCTCACAGCACGTGCTGGATGCAAATTTTCAGGTGGTGCTCTCACGGCTACACTCTCCGTGCTCTACTATAGCTCACTCGAAAGAAAGGCGCCTGGAGAAAGTGTCGTCAGGAAAGTCCGTGTCTGCCGGCGGAAGGACGCCGAACGAAGATAATTACAGGCAGAGCAAGCCTTCCGGGCCTTCCGCATCGCATGCCTTGCCTTCGGCTGTTCCTCGACTAAGTCTCTGCGGCTTAGCCTTCACGAGTATCACTTGGCATGGCGGCTGGCTTGCTCTGGGCCAGTGGGCCGCTGTAGTCAAGAAATCTCTGGGCTTCGTACCAGGAATCTCATTCGAAACTGCCGAGGCTTTCAGGGTGTTGGTTGGGGTCTGAAATCTTTGTGTTCCTGGCAAGTTGGGGAATCCTTTCAGAAGGGGCCCGAATTCAAAGAGGAGCGGGGCCCTTCCGTGTGAACTCCCGTGCAAAGGGCCAGGACCCTGGCGTGTCACAGCCCGCGTGCCTAGCCAATCTTGGGTGCGTGTGAAAAGCACACCGCAACATGTAATTAGTAGAACTAGGCAACATGGCTGCACTTGGATAGTAGGGGGAACCCCCCAAAATATGAGAGTCCTTGTAAAGGGAACCCCATAGAGGGGCGTCGAACCCCCGATATTTAGAGGCAGGGTCTAGAGTCTAAAGGGCTCATTCTCATGGGAGCTGTAGAACGAGAAGCCAACTGAAGCCACTGGTTTTCTCGTACTACTCGTACTAGTCTTCCGGTTTGAGTCGTGCATGTCCTAGCGGAAGCCCTGACAAATCGACTTTGTATGGAAGCGACCCAAATCTTGTCCAGCTTCAGAGGTTCTTCGTGGTTTTGTGATCCCAGTGTTCTGCTCCAGGCATGCGGGTTGACCAGTATGAAGGCTCAAGGGCCGAGCATTGAATTCCATTACGGTCATGAGACTGGCGCATTCGCGGCGCTCAAGCATTGCGAGATAGCATGGCGCAAGCATTGCTCTACCGACAGACACCGCCAACTTCGATCCTCACTTGCCGAACTTCACAGCAGCGCTTCTGACTCTGCTACAGCTTTATCCTCGTGATATTTCGTGATCATGACATTTTTCGAACCTTGAGAGCAGGACTACAGGGACTACAGGGACTACAGGGACTACAGGGACTACAGGGACTACAGGGACTACAGGGGCTACAGCGCCCAGCCGTGGATATCTGTGGCATCGCGGGATCAACTGACAAATGTCTCAGGCCGGACATCGGCTCAATTCAAACTGTGCCGAGATTCGTGCCAAGCTGCGAGACCATTGTCTTGAGCATCCCTATGTAGAGCTTCAGCATCTTTTCATATATCTTCTGCCGTAAAAAACTTAGATGTCTCATTATAAGGTGGGTTCTCGAGCAGCGGTTGTTTGTGCCCGCAGCTGACAAATGCTTGTTTACCCCTGTTTATCAAAAAACTGCCATTCATCTTCGCTATAAAAGTGATTTTCGTTATGAAAATATAGAGTAAACATTAACGGTACATGAAAATCTAGCAAACACAATTCCATTAGAAAAAACATACAAAGGACAGGAAATACAAACTAACAATAACCAAAGAGTGATTTTGTTCCAAGTTTTCATTTTTTAAACTAAGTGTTGACGTTGATATTTCAAAGTATTGAATTTCTTATGTATAACAATACTAATCAGCGAACGCAAAACTGTAAAGCCAATATGGAGGGAGTGCTGCTGAGCTCTGTGCTCGCAATTTGCCACCTTGTAATGTTCATGGTGTGCATGTATATGGTCAGGAACCCACATTCTCGGCCACCCAAGCAGCCACGTCTCGCTCGCTGCATTCTTGGATAATATTTTTGGTACTGTAGAGCTCCCTTCAACATCTTTGCTGTGCTAGCGCCTCTGAGTCACACTGGAACCTAAGTGAAAAGACAAGATGTCATCCCCCCAAATAGAAATACAGAAGAGGCTACACCGCATAAAATTCTGGAAATCTCACTTATGTGGGTTCTCGAACAGCAGTTGTTTGTGCCTGCGATCTTTGCTGCAGACCAAACATTCACCCGGCTGACAAATGCTTGCTGAGCTCCCGGCAGCCCCTCTTGCGAACAGTAACGCTGGAAAGCCAACATGGAAGGAGTGCTGCTGAGCTCTGTGCTCGCAATTTGCCACCTTGTAATGTTCATAGTGTGCATGTACATGGTCAGGAACCCACATTCTCGGCCGCCCAAGCAGCCACGTCTCGCTCGCTGCATTCTTGGAAGATATTTTTGGTACTGTAGAGCTCCCTTCAACATCTTTGCTGTGCCAGCGCCTCTGAGCCAGATTAGAACCCATGAGCAAAAGTCACGAATGTGGCTTCTCGAGCAGCACATGCTTTGTGCCTGCGATCTTGCCGCCGACTAAGAAGTCACCCAGCTTATACACGTGTGCTTGCTGAGCCCTCGGCAGCACCTCTTGCAACCTGTAAAACTCTGAAGCCATGATGAAAGGGGTGCTGCCGAGGTCTCGCGTGACACGATGCAGGACTTACTTGGGTCAAGGTCTCAACAGCGCGCGGTGGGTTCATAGGACCCAGGCCTGTGACGCAGATAGAACTTCATGGCGATTCTGACCAGAATGGAATCTGCGGCTCTCGGCTCAAGACTCTAGCTGCCTAGCCCAAGCTCCAACCTCAAACATGATGACGGCCAAGTCAAAAAAAACTACAGCGACGATGCCAGTCTCGCCCCCCCCCCCCACCCCCCGCACCCCCCCCGCTGAGGCACTGAGCCATTGCGCGATGTGCCATGATGAAGTTGCTTTAGGAGAGCCGCCTCCTGCAGTTCACAGCTCTACCGCGTGACACACATCCCTCAACTCGCATGCCCTCTGACTTTTCTGTGGTCTCAACCTGGCACTGGCACGATGCGCAAAGGATGAGTCCTCGCTCTGAGGATGCAAGATCAAGCTTTCGGACACGACTCTTTACCAAAATGGTGTGGCCCCTGTGCAACGGGTCAATAGCAGTTGCAATCTCCCGCTTGCTCCACGAACCAATGAACGAGATGCAAAGCCGAACCATTAGTTCGCCTCGGCTTCCTGCCGAGAAGCGTCTGGAACAAGCAGACCCGGATCGGGCCTCCTTCCCCCAAACCCGACCCTTTGTTCCATTTTTCTGACGCCCCCCCCCCCCCCCCCCCCACCCCCCCCCCACCCTGTGGGCCACCCCTATCGCTTGGAGGCTGCAAAACCGCTGTCGTTTGTGGCTGCCCCCATCCCCCCCCCCCACCCCCACCCAACCCCCCCCGCCTCCCCCCACCCCCCCCACCCCCCCCCCCCCAACCCCTCCCTCCCCCCCCGATCCCCCCCCGACCCCCGCCCCCCTCCTGCGAAACCCTCTTTCCTCCTTTCCTGTCCTGGGGCCGGCCCGGCTGCCGAGGCGGCGCGCGCAAGCGTTTACAATTATATCAGCTCATGAGTCCAGAGAACAAGAGAGCACCCTTAACAGCTAGACCGTGAATCCAAAGAACCAGCCAATTAGCACTGTAAACCTTAGGAATTAGCTCATCGCCAGGGTCTTTCATCACTTCCCGGGTGTTCACTTCACGCAGAATTATATTTAATAATTCCGTGGAGAGAACACAATATTGTCATGAATACAAGTGAGTCTGCGAGCGCGTGATGAATAATAATATGGTGTGGATGTAACCACAACATCGGGTTCTCCAGCTATAACCGTGTAACACCTTGGCATCATGAGCCAGGAAACTAGACCAGAAAACCAGTATAATATTACTATTAAATGCGGGCTTATGAGGAGTGAAAAGATGCATGAAGCGCGTGCACCTATTATGTGGGTGAGAGAGGACAGTGCATGCGCGGGCTTACTGTTCACGTCTCAAA